GTCTCTAAATCAGGATTGCAAGAGGGGTTGGCATTGTCCTGTGTCAAAGAAGGAAGACAAGTTGAATCTGGAAGAAGTTGTTTTCGATATATGTTATAAAAAGCACCAGGGACCAAACCCAGAGCTTCAGGTCTGCTGAGCTGGCCCTGTACCACTGAGCTACATCCCAGTCCTCAATATCTTTATTTATATTTTATATATATATATATATATATATATATATATATATATATGTATATATATTTAGATGAAATAGGTAAAGGGCATACAGAAGAAAATGTTGAAAAGGATATAAATAGCCAAACAATATGTAAATAATACTTAGCATCTCTTCACATTCACATTTAGGAATTACAATGAGAGGGGCTGGAGTTGTAGCTCGGTGGTAGAGCACTTGCCTAGCATTTGTGATGTGCTGGGTTTGAGCCTCAGAACCACACAAAAATGAGTAAAATAAAGGTATTATTTCCATCTACAACCCAAAAATATTTTTAGTAAAAGAATTACAATGAAAACTTTGAAGTTTGTTGCTGCTACTTTTTCTTTTGTTCATCTCAAGTTAGAGGTTTTTGTTTTGTTTTGTTTTTTAAGCCTGATGAAACCTGGAGTTGGTGAAAATACAAAAACTACAGGTGCAGTGTCAGTTGGCCTAAATATCCTCAGCTGTCTGAAGCGTCATATTTAGAAGGTGGTACAGTCTTTGAAGCAGCAATGCTGTTTCTGATGTGAATCTTGAAGCCCTGAGGAGCCCATGTGGTAGGCAGGCGATGACCTTTTCAGCCTTGTATGGTGACCTAGGGTCTAATTCCCCCCTGGGTACTTGGTTGGCCCCCATGACTCTCTGGGCCAGTGGAATATCATCAGATGAAGTCTTGGAACAACCATGGTGCTGTCCTGCAGCCCCATCCTAGCCTCCTTTGGACCTATTTCTGGAGTCCCCGACCATCAGGTAAGGTGTCCTACTAGCTGGGACCTCAGGTAGGTGTTGTGGTCCATGATGACAGCTGAACACAGTCTTCTAGGCACTCGGTGAATGAGATGTCAGTAGATGTATATCGAATAGAATTCCACAGTTGAGTCCTTATGAAATCCCTGCCTGAGAAACTGTGGGACACACTACAGTGGTTCTCCTAAGGCATTAAATTTTCAAGTAGTCCATCATTCGGTTCTCGATAACTGGACTGAGGGATACCTATAGCTATGTGTATAAGCTTGTTCATGGGTCATAATATATGTAAATGAGAAATTGGAAACAATGGAAGTAGTGTCTGTCACCAAGGAGTCTTCGGAGGGGTGTACACCAACACAGTGGAGTGTACCTGGTCAGCAGGCTGAAAGAGTGGTGAAGGGTGGCCACTGTTTCTGGACAGTGTTCAGAACATGAGAAACAGAAGCTGAAGTCCCAGTGACTGGAGAGGCTGAGGCAGGAGGATCACCAGTTCCAGGCAAGCCTGGGTAACTTAGTGAGACCCTGTCTCAAAATAAGAAACAAGTGGGCTGGGGCTGGGGCTCAGCGGTAGTGCACTTGCCTGGCATGTGGGAGGCACGGGGTTCGATTCTCTGCACTGCATATAAATAAATAAAATAAAGGTCTATCAACAACTAAAAACAAATATTTAAAAAAATAAGAAATAAAACAGCTGGGGGGTGTAGCTTAGTGATAGAGCATCCCTGGGTTCAAGCCCTAGTTCTGGAGGGAAAATAAAACAGACCTGAACTGATGACCTCACCAAACAAGATATTCAGATGCCAAATATACCTATGAAAACCTGTTCCACACCCAGGTCATTAAGGAATTGCAGATCAAAACAATGAGGTACTTCCCCACCTTTATTAGAATGGCTGTGATCCAGAACTCTGACCACACCGGACACTGTGAGAAGAAGGAGCAGCAGGAGCGCTCATTCCTTGCTCCTGGGAATGAAAGATAGCAGGGCCCCTGCAGAAGACCACCCGGCACTTCTGTACAGAACCAGTCTCACCAGATGGCCAGTATTTACCCGAATGAGTTGAAAACTATGTCCACAGAAAAAAACCTGCACACAAAGGGTTATAGCATCTCTATTTACAATTGTCAAAATTTAAAGCAACCAAGAGGTCCTTCAATAGGTGAATCCATAAACTGTAGTAACTCATTCACTGGAATGTCTTTCAGATTAAAAAGCCATGAACTGGGCTGGGGCTGTAGCAGTGGTGGAGCGCTTACCTACCATGTGTGAGGCACTGGGTTTGATTCAGAACCACATATAATAAATACAGTCCACTGACAACTAAAAAAAATATTTAAAAAAAAGGAATGAACTATCCAATCACAAAAAGATATGGAGGAACCTTACGTGTGTATTGGTATGTGAAAGGAGTCATCTAATAAGACTGCACACTATATGATTCAGAAAAAGGCAAATTTTCCAGACATGGAGACAGTAAAATGAACCACAGATGCAAGATGCTGAAGGGGAAAGGGAGCTGGGTGAGTTGGTGGAGCACAGGAGACTTAGGGCAGTGAAACTATTGTGTGTGCTGTGGTGGGGATACTTGACATGCACCTGCCAAAATCCACAGACTATTTCACACCAAGAGTGAACCCTAAATGTAGACTATGGGATGTAGTTAATAATAATGTATCAGTATGACTTCATCCATTGTAACAAAGGTACCCTGAGAATGGAAAATATTTGTAATACAGGAAATTGTGGGGGAGGGGCCATGGAAACTACTTTCTGCTCAATTTTTAGGAAATCGAAAAAATAGTAGTGATAATAAATGAAGTGGTAGCATGCAGCCTTGTGTCTGCTTTCTTATTAGGCATTAGATGCGTCCAGTTTGATGTACCCTAAATAACACCTGGATCCATTCCGATGACTTCCCAGGCTGGCACTTTAGGGAGGTGGGAAGCTTTACCACTTCCTCTATGGTTTGACTGTTCATAATGAGCACAGAACTGGCAAGAATACATGCTTCTGGGCTGGGGATGTGGCTCAAGCGGTAGCGCGCTCACCTGGCATGCGTGCGGACCGGGTTCGATTCTCAGCACCACATACAAACAAAGATGCTGTGTCCACCGAAAACTAAAAAATAAATATTAAAATTCTCTCTTTCTCTTAAAAAAAAATACATGCTTCTGTTTCCCAATAATTGGGAAGGGGAAGAATTTACAGGAGGGAAGAAAGCCTTAAAAATGAACTTTATTTTGGTACTAGGGATTGACTCTGGGACACTTTACCACTGAGTGACAGTCCCAGTCTTTTTTGAGAGGGTCCTGCTAAATTGCTGAGGTTGGCTTTGAACTTGCTGTCCTCCTGCTTCAGCCTCTGGAATCAATGGGATTACTGGCATGAGCCACAATAGTTGGCAAAAATGAATTTTATTTAATTTTTGCAGTGCTACCGATGGAACCCAGGGTTTTACTCATGGTAGGCAAGTGCTTTACCACTGAGTGCCACCCGACCCCTTAAAAATGCTGCTGCTTTTGTGTGTGTGTGTGTGGTGCTGGGGATTGAAAAAATACATTTTAAATAATGAAAGTCCTGATTCTTTAGTCAGTTATGCTAGCTTTTACAACCAACAACCTTGAGTCTCGGGGGTCAAGGGTGTCAGCCAGAGTGTAGGCCTTCTGCAACTCTCTTCACTTGGAGCCTCAGGATATCATGCACCTCTGACTCCCATGAAGTCACAGAGTAGAGGCAGGGCTGGCACTTCACCCAGGAAGCTCTGCTAAGATTTCTCGCAGGGGATGGACTGGAGGAAGACAAATGCAGAGACTGGGTAGCACTAGCCACGATACTCTGGACACAAAAAAATCACCCTTACTTGGTCTACCCAAACAACACAAAACACACACATTGGGTGCTGGGGATTGAACCCAGGGAGCTCTACCGCTGAGTCACATCCCCAGTCCTTTTTATCTTTATTTTAAGAGAGGATCTGGCCAAGCTGCTTAGGGCCTCGCTAAATTGCCGATGCTGGCTTTGAACGTGCGATCCTCCGGCTGGCTTCAGGCTCCGGAGCAGCAGGGATTCAGGGCGTGCGGCTTAACCACGCCCGGCTCACACCTAGACAAGTTCTGACGGCCCTTTCCGGGTAATTCTGCAGGCACCGTGGTGAGCAACTCTGCACAGCGTCTTCCTGGGGGCTGCATCCTTCACACTGCCGCAGAAGCACCTGCGCGCCAGGTGAGATCCGGCACCCAGGTGAGCGTGACGTTCTCCTGCGCAGCGGGGTGCGGGGAAGGGCGGCCCCGCACGCGGCCCCCGGCAGCGCGCGTCCCGCCAGCGCCCGGCACACCACGTGTCAGCGCCGTCCAGGGGCAGGCCGGCCCCTCCCCCCGCCGGCC